CGTTGGACATGGTTGAAGAGAGACGCTCTGAGCTCAAGATAAATCAGTAGAAACTTGTAAAGCCAAAAAGGGGAAAAACAATGGAGCTTAATATCCAAAACTGACTCAGCCAAAAAGTATCATGAAGGATAAAAATAAAAAAGGAACAGAAAAAAATTAAAGCCACATGATCAAGAATTTCCATGATCGATTCTAAGCATCAATAATGTCAAGATTAACTGAATGTCTTCCAGAAGACAAAATAGAGGGCCTATCTTATAGCTTGTTTTATGAAAGCATCATTTGCCCAATACCAAAACTGGACAGAAACTTCATACGGACTAATATCTCTCATGAATGTAGACATGAAACACCTTAATGATCAAATATAATTTAACAGTGTGTAAAAATGACTGTTGTAGCTGGAGAGATGGGCTTTGCCTTGAAGAACACACACTGCTCTTGTAGAGGGCTTGAATTCAGTTTCCACCACTTACATCAGGTAGCTCATAACTGCCCCCCATTACTGCAGCTCCAGGGGGAACCAACACTGCCGGCCTCTGTGTGCACCTGGACTCACCTGGACCCCCCCCACAGTCACTCACATATGTTGTGAGATATTTGATTACACTGTGCAAAGATATGTCACTGTGATTGGTTTAGGTAAAAAGATTAAACAGCCAATAGCTAGGCAGGAGGTATAGGCGGGACTTCCGGACAGAGAGAGCTCTCGGAAGAAGAAAGGCGGAGACCCAGAGCAAGCAGGATGGGCACTATGGAGATGAGGTAATAAAACCACAAGGCAGAAAGTAAATTAACAGAAATGGGTTAATTTAAGCTGTAAGAGCTAGCTGGAAACAAGCCTAAGCTAACTGGCTGAGCATTCGTAGCTAATAATAAGTCTCCATATCATTTTTGGGGAGCCAATGGTCCCGATGAAAAGATCCGGCTGTACATATACACATAATTAAAAATAAGTTAAGGGTATGGAGAGGTAGCTCAGAGGTTAACAGCACTCGCTGCAGAAGACCCAGGTTTGATTCCTAGCACCCACATCAACTGCCTGTAGTTCCAGTTCTAGGGGATCTATTGCCCTCTTCTGGCCTTTGTGGGCACTGCATACTTGTGGTACACATAAACCCAATTTCAAATTAAAAAGTGTGATAGTAAGACTAAATCATTTAAAGCTTGTACATCAGGAGCAGAAGCTGCCCCGGATCAGGCCACACCAGTCAAAAGAGGTAAACGACCCCCTGACCACAAAACTCCCCCACTCTCTAGATCCTGGATTTGGTTCCCCAAAACCCATTCCACTACCCACCCCCCATCCTGCCCCAACACCCTCCCTGCTAATGTGCCCCTGACCCCAACTCCTGTGGCCTTCAGCTGTCCAGTTGCAGGCCACACCAGTCAGAAAAATAGGCGCAGGTCAAGCAAGCCAGAAAAATAGATGGGCAAACTCAGGCAGAGGCCACTTCAGCCACCGGAACCCCAGACAGGCAGCCCACCTGTGGACTTCCCCCATTCACTCAGTGGCCACAATCCCCACTCCCCTCCTAATCACATAACCCATATGCCCAGCTCAGGCAGAGACCCCCCTGGGGCACCAAAGGCCAAGCTAGCTGCCAAAACGCCAGCCCCCAACTTGAACAGAGACTTTCACACCACTGCCAGAAATCCAAGCCACAAAGACTAGAAGACCAAAGAGGAAACAGAAACCAAGGAGCGAAACACCCATCAAACAAAGACAAGCTCAGAAATCAGCACCCAGACCTATAACCACCCCAAACCCAGACGCCTAAATGTCAGTGTAAGAACACAACCAAGAACCAGCCAGGGCAACATGGCACCGTCAGAGAACAGCTATCGTTTGCCAGCAAGGCCTGAGTATTCCAGCGCAGCTGACACACAAGGAAATGACCATAAAAAACGACTTTATGAAGATGATAGAGGGCTTTAAAAGAGGGAATGAAAAAAAAATCCCTTAAGGAAATCAAGGAAAAAAAAGGCGGAGGAAATCAATAAATCCCTTAAAGGATGCCAAGAAACAAACAAACAAACAGGTGAAGGAAACTATTCAAGACTTGGAAATGGAAACAGAAGCAATAAAGAAAACACAAACCGAGGGGATTGTGGAAACGGAAAATCTAGATAAGCGAACAAGAACTAAAGACAGAAGCATCATCAACAGAAAAAGACGGCAGAGAGAATCTCGGGCGTTGAAGATACTATAGAAGAAATAGATTCATCTGTCAAAGAAAGTGTCATATCTGAAACACCCCTAACTCAAACCACCCAGGAAACTTGGGACACTATGAAAAGACCAAACCTAAGAACAATAGGAATAGAAGAATCCCAACTTGAGAACCCCAAATTATATATCTAATAAATGTCCTAATTTCAAAATAAAGGCAGAATATAGGTCGTGTTGGGGGAGGGGTTATGCCTTTGTTTCCCCAGGAAACAAAAAGCTATGGTTCTCTTCAGAGTTAATGAAGATAAGTTCTTGACATCTGTGCCCCAAATGCAAAGACACCCACATTTGTAAAAGCTCAGATCACACATCAAACCTCACACATTTAATAGTGGGAGACATCAATACCTAACTCTAGCCAATGGACAGGTTATCCAGACAAAAACCAAACAGAGAGATAATGGAGCTAGCAGGCATTACGACTCAAACGGACCTAACTGATATCTGCAGGACATCCCACCCAAACACAAAAGAATACACCTTCCCCCTCAGCACCTCACGGAACATTCTCCGAAACTGGCCGCATGCTCCGTTACAAAGCAAGCCGCAACAGATACACATTGTATGTGGCAACCATCATTTGTCCTCTGGTTCAGCATTTTAGAATCAAGGTGTACAGTTCATCACATGCATGGGCTGAACTGGAAAAGCTCCATGACCGCACCAGCGGACACAGAAAAGCAGTTGACAGAAATTGGCAAACTAGGACCGGAAGGGAGCGTCTTCAAGTTGCTAAAGAAACGTCTGTGAAGAACACACAGCTAACAGATGTGATGGTGAGAAAACTCACCATACAAGGACAGGTCAGAAACAAGAGTAGGGCGGAATACTTTACATGCTACAAGAGAAAACATCTACCAGCCTAAAACTCCATACCTTGCAAAAATTATGCTTCAAACCAAAAGTGAAAGTCTGACTCAACTTTCAGTGACCACATTCCTTGGGATCAGAGAAACATAAAGAAACCAAGAAGGAAAAGATGGCAAAAAAAAAAATCACTGTCAGGAAAAAAAATCTGTATTATAGATGATGATACGCAGGTGAAGAGGGCTGACCACTGTCCAGCATCACACGCTGGCAGGTCCCAGAAATTCTGAACTCTCAGGTTCGTTTCATAATCTTATGCCATTGAAATAAGCTTTTTATATCGAAAGACAAGGGTGATACACAGATAATTGACTCAGTGTTCCACACCCACATCTACTGCCCCCAAATCATTTTAGTTCATAACTACTCACTATATAATTAAATGCAATTAAGGATAAAAATAGACCCGGCTTCTAAAAAAGAAAATCTCATGACATTTACCCTCCAAATGACACAGTATATATGTTTATGGATTTCAAACCCATCACATCAAAATGACACTACCTGCTTCAAGTATTCTAGCCCGCTCAGAAACAGGTTCACAGAGCTTGTAGGAGTAAGGGAACCAGGTAATTTTCCCTTCTGTATTTTGATCAGGGACTCAATGAATTTGCTTCAATTTGCTCTATAACCTAGGCTGACGTTGAATTTGAGATCTGTCTTAGCCTTCCAAGTACTGGAAATCTAGGCCCGACACACCACACCTAACTGAGAAATATTCCTTTCATATAGAAATGTAGAAATTTTGTGAGAAATAGCCTTCCCGTGTAGAAGGTTAATTTTCCACATAGAAACATCCTACATAGAAAACCATTCTGCAGGACACAAACTGTCTGGCTTTTAATGATATTAAGATTAATTAAGGTAATTACTAGTAAATGTTCTTTAACACTGCCTCGGCTTTTACTCTTGTTCTATGCTTTATTTTATTTTCTTTCGAGGCAGAGTTTCTTTGTATAGTCTGGCTGTCCAAGGAACTCGGAAACCGGCCTGCCTCTGCCAACCCGAGTGCTGGGATTAAAGGCGTGCGCCACCATGCTGGGCTTGTCCTAAACTTTTGCTAAAGTTGGGAAACAGTTCTCTCCAAATTCATCTCCATTTTTACGTTTTTGCAGATCTCAAGTCTCCTCTGGTTATCCAGTGGCGTCCTTTAACCCAGGTATTGAAATGTGACTTTTTTTTTTTTTTTTGTACAGCACAGTGATTCCGCTCACAGCGCTCCCAAGTTACTCTCTGGCTGCAAATGCCTTTTAATAACAAAGCAGGCTCGCTATTCCTAGTGTGCCCAAGGCCGTGGGTTCTCTCCCCATTAGCAACAACAACAGTCACTTTGCATCTGTCAAAAGCGTTTCAGCAAGTTCGTTTGCACCGCACACCAGAGTCCTGCGGACTGGATTTGAATGAATGCAAAGGACTAAAAACACTAGTAACCGGCGTCGTGCCCGTCTCCTGTCTCCATGGTGAAATCTCTAAGCAGCCCTGCGCTCCTTGTAGGAAAATGCGTCTGGAGTGACATGGCAGAGCTGGCCCTAAAAACCACGTTGACTAAGTCAGATGAGTTTTGCGGGGCTCTGGGGGCAGGAAAGCTGCAGAACCAGCCGGAGCCGAGGTGGTGGCCTGAGAGTCCGAGTTCACGGGCTTTTCAGGCGGGTCCCCGGGAGTCACACCGGGTGACACCAGGGAGCAGACCCACACGGTGGAGCGGGCAGTAGTGTGTTCCGACGGGGGCCGTCGGTCAGTCCCGGGCTGGACGCCTGGGTCCCCGGTGCGGCTGACTGGGTGGCGGGGACCCGGCCGGGCGGGAGGGCTCGCCGGCCCCGGCTCGCCCGCGGCGGGTGGGGAGGGGCGGGGCGGGGCGCGGGGCTGGTCCCGCCGCGGCGAGCCCCAACCTGCCCGGCCGACCTGGCGGCGCAGTCTCGCGGGATCGGCCAGCTCTCGCTCCCCGGCGCGGCCCCGGAGGCGGTGGAGGCCCGGACGCTGCCCCCCAACCCCACCCCACCCCTCCCAGCCCCGCGGAGGGCGAGCCGCCCGAGGTGAGGCGTCCCGGCCCGACGGGGCGGACGGGCGAGCGGGCGAGCGGGCGGGCGGGCGGGCGAGCGGGCGAGCGGGCGGCCCGGGCTGGCGCCGCAGGTGCGTCTCCTCCGAGCCCCACCCCACTCCTGGACGGCGACTCCCGGGTCCCCGCAGGCCCGGGACGCCGCGGCGGCGGCTGCGCTGCAGGTCGGGGACAGGTGCCCGGGCGCAGGGCACCGGGAGTTCGGGACGACCCCGACCCCCAGGAGCTGCCCAGGGCAGGTTTGCGCCGGGTGGAAGGCGGGGTGGAGAGGGCACCGGGTGAGCGCATTCGGGAGAAAGTGCAGAACTAGCCAAAGGGGATTAAGGGCTCTGTGGGGTCACCAGGCAGGGACCCCGGTCGAGCCGGCGAGACAGACTGGCCGTCTGGGGAGACAGGAAAGGCACATCCGCGGGAGACTGTCCCTGTGCAGTGCTCAAGTCTAAGAACCCTGGGCCTGGGCCTCGCTTTTCCTCTCTTTGTACCAAGCCCTTGGCCGCACGCCCCTCCAGTCCTTACTTCTAACCCCCACGCCTTCTCCCACCTGCTCGCCCACCCCCTTCCCCACTCCCACCCCCGCCTCCCTGTTACCCCAAACCTTCCTTCATCCGCGGTTCCCCAGAACTCAAGCTTCCATAGCCAAAGCGACGCATTCGCATTCATTCCCTGCCAAAGGCGGCTCTTGCTAGGATGGAATTTTCCATAATCCCCCCCCGCGCCCCCCCAGTGTCAGCCACCTAAGAATGAAGTTTGTCGCAAATCTGATTGTGCGGGCTCGTGCCGCTGATAACACACTCCGGGGTTTGTTTTCACAGAGGTTGACCCAGAGCTCCTCTTCAGGAAGCCGCTCCCCACCCACACACAAAAAATGGCTAACACCGTGAGATGAGAGGTTTGAATGTTTGTCTCTGGATGGAACATCCCGGTGGCAGGGGCCTTTGGTGAAGCCGGGAGTGCGAAGGGAGAAGATGGAGATGTCTCCGTTTCTGTGGCTCTGCCTTTGCCTGCCCGCAGTGAGGGGACACAGCCTCTTCACCTGTGAGCCGATCACGGTCCCCAGATGTATGAAAATGGCCTACAACATGACATTCTTCCCTAACCTCATGGGCCATTATGACCAGGGCATTGCTGCGGTGGAGATGGAGGTCAGTGACTCGTCACGCCTTTAGTGAAAATTAGTGTATACATAGTTTTTTTAAACTGTTGCTTTTTATCTTTAAACATAATTTTGGTTTTACAAATCATGCTCTTATAATTACTTTTGAAAACTCACCCTTCCCATCCCCAAACTGGCGTACTTAGTGTACGTTTGGGGCCTCTAGTTAATTTGCTTCAAAGAAGGTTTATTTTATAAAGAACCGTGATCACCGGTGATTAAACCATTTTGCTTTTCTGAGTTTTGGGTGGTAGCCTCTCTTGTGAATTCCGAATTCTTTTCGTGGGTGACTGAGCATATAACCTGTATTGCTTGAGCTAAAACTGAAGAAAACGTGTTTCATGAAAGTACTTGCAGTTTGATTTAGTTTTTCCAAAGCAAGTAAGTCATTGGGACGTTTTGGCGTTAAAGATGACGTTCTGAACAGTGACTGAGTCAGGGTTAGCAGTTCAGTATGTTTTCTTTCTGTAAGTCAGCGCGTGTGAGAAGAAGAGCCCCCCTCCCCTGCCTGTAGGGTGAAGAACCCGGTGTCACCAAAGGTCTCCTTAGCTGCCTGAGTTACCTGCCTGTCTCTGGTTTAGAGATATGCAAATATCTGAGGGAGGTGTGGGAAGAAAGACCTAACCTGAAGAGACAGGAACCTGCCCTGCCTCACAGATCTGTTAGGCTGATAAGTTTCCTGAAGCAAGAAAGAGACGAGTGTGTTGTTTTTGTAGTCTTTTCTCTGAAAAAGCTGAAGGCAGTAAAGGTTTTTTTCCCTCAGGCTGCCTCTAAGAATAAACCCCGAGGATTTTGATCCAGACAGGACTTTTTAAACTGACTCCATCTGCTCGTGCAACTTGGAAGGTCTTCCCCTGCTGTCTCCTTGAATAGCTGTCCGACCACCTCGTTCTAGGCTCCTGTCTGGGTAGGACAGTTTTTAAAGACTCAGATATAGCTTTTCAAAGGTTGACAAGTTACAGTATTGTAATCTTTCGGGAGTCCGTTCCAAACCGATGCAAAATCTCCTTCCCGTTTATCAGAGGAAGCAAGTTCCTCTCAGCTGCAGCCTCACCCCTGTGTGGTTCTTTTGAACACTCAGCAAAGGATGCTGGGAGACTTCCATTGATTCATCAGAACCATAGTATGTCGTGGGAACACCATGTGGCACTAATTACCACGTTTGCGCTTGCCTCCTCTGATGATACTGTTTTATAACTCATGTTTCAGTGCGTGTTCCTGAAGCATTTATAACCTGGCTTCCTCTCTGTGTAGCAGCCATGTGCATCTTAACCCTGACAGTGACCTTAGAAATTCCTAACGTTTACCCTGAGTTCCTCCGTGTAGCGTGACACGGGAAGGTCAGAGGGACACACCCTGCTATTTTAAAGGCTTTTTTTTTTTTGAAGACAGAATCAATGGGCCTCTGTTACATGCATTTTGTTTTAAAGACAAGTGTTTGTTTTCTACCTTAGAAAGTTGTTGTTGTTTTCTTGGTTGTTTGTTTTTTACTTACCTAGGTAGTTTTACGTCTGGACCTCCTCAAGAAGGGTTTCTGCTCTTTATTTGAGTGTTGACGTTACCGGTCTCTTTCTGTATGCTTGTCACGTACCAAGCACTCCTGGCTTTGGAGCTAGCTGTCCAGGTTGCATTTCCAGTGAGTTAGTGTTAAGATACCGCCTGAGGAATTGTGTCTCGTCACGTCAGCCGCTTGTTCCGTCTTTCTTTTCTTCCCCGTTTTGCAAAGACTTTTTGTGTTGAGACAGGGTCTTGCTTAGTTGTTCAGTCTGGTTGTGAACAGTCTCCGTAGGCCAGGTAGAAATTGAAAACCTTGCCCTTAGAAGTCTTCCGCTAGGACAGGACGTCTTTGGTCTTTGCTGTTTTGATGAACAGGGTCTTCCTGTGTTTCCCAGACTGGCCTAGAACTTGCTGTCTAGCCTGGGCTGGCTTTGAGTTCACGATCCTCCTGGCTCTGTGTTCTGAATTCTGGAATTAAAGGCACTCACCACCATGCCCGGCTCAAATGTATATTCTTAGCTACCAAGAATTCCATGTAAGTCTATCTTACTTCTCTCTTTTAAAAATTAGTTTGTTGCCTTTAATCCCAGCACTCGGGAGGCAGAGGCAGACGGATCTCTGTGAGTTCGAGGCCAGGCTGGACCGACAGCCTCCAAAACAATACAGAGAAACCCTATCTCATAAAAAAAAATTAGTTTGTTATTGTGTGTGTTCGTGTGTGTGTGTGTGTGTGTGTGTGTGTGTGTATACACATATGTGCCATGCACAGCGCCAATGTGGAGGTCAGAGACTGTGTGGAAATCAGCTTTCTCTTTCCTCTGTGAGTTCCGGGGAGCTGACTCAGGTTGCCAGGCAAGTGCCCTCCCCCACTGAGCCGACCTGTCAACTCTTCTCGGGCTTTGACGCCTCGCTTCATCTGCGCTAGCTTTACCGAGTTTAGGTATTAAGTCCATGTGTTGTGGGGCATTGTTAATCTGTGATTAGATAAGACAGAACAGCAGCTCTCGAGGTTTAGCTCATAGACAGCGGGCCTCTGCGCACGTTAGACTCCGTGGCCTCTGAAGACGGAGCACAGCCGTCTAACAAGCTCTCCCCGTGCTAAGGTGTGATGGTTTAAAGTTTAAGACCCACTAGTTAGACCTTTCCCCCGTGAAGGGCCACTGATACTGGGTGCGATGGACTTCAGTCTCTGTCACAGCTGTCCACCTGTGCGGCTGTGGCAGGGAAGCTGTCATAGACAGTAGGGGAACAAAATGGCTGTGTCTCAGTAAAGCCTCAGTGGGCAGTAGGCAGGCCTGTGAGCTGTACCTTGCTAACCCTTAGAGTCACCGAAAGTGCTTTACAAATAAGAGTATCACGGAGTAAATAAACGTGGATGTGCATTCTTAGCAATACATTACCTAGGCTGTGTCTTATTTAATTGCCACATGAATTATTTATTTATTTATTTGTGTGTGGCTGGGAATTATTTATTTATTTGTGTGTGGCCGCGGCTTGAAGAGGCCAGACAGAGGAGTATTGTTGGGTGTCTTTCTCTATTGCTTTCTATCATATTGTCTTGAGATACGGTGTCTCATCGAACTGGAGTCCAGCCAGCAGGCCTTCGGGATCTACCTGTCTCTGCCCCCATCTCCGGGATCACGGGTGTGTGCAGCCATGCCCAGCTTTATATGTGGTGCTGGGAATTCGAACTCATATTTCCATGCTTGCTTGCAACTCTTTACTGCCTGTGGTGGTTTGGAAGAGAAAGGTCCCATGGGCTTCTGTGTGTGGATACTTGGTCTCCAGTTGGCGAAACTATTTGGGAAGGATTAGGAGGTGTGGCCTTGCTTGGAGGGGGTGTGTCACTGTGGGCGGGCTTTGAGGTTTCAGAAAACTGGCATCTTTCTCAGAGCCCCTCTCCCTGCCTTCTACTTGTGGATCAGTGTGGGAGCTCACGGTCACTGCTCCAGCACCCTGCCTGCCCGCCGACGTGCTCTCCACCATGGTGGTCATGGACTCTAACCCTCTGAAACCATAAGCCCCAAATAAACTGTTTCTTCTGTAAGTTGCCTTGGTAATGGTGTCTTATCACAGCACTAAAAAAAATCTAAGACATTCCTTGAGCATCTCACCACACTATGAATGTGAATTAAATTTTTTTCTTATTTTTGAACTATGTGTGTGTGTGTATGCTGTGTGTGTGTGTGTATTGCATGTGAGCGCACATACCCACAGAGACCAGAAGAGGGCGTTGGATCCCCTGGAGTTGGAATTACAGGCAGTGGTGAACTACAGGATATGGGTACTGGGAACTGAGCTGCGGTCCTCTAGAAGAGCCAGCAAGCACTTTTTACTACTGAACTGTCTCTCCAGCTCCACCCCACTCCACCATATGAATGTTGTTGTTGTTTTCTGTTTTTTTGGGGCTTTTTTTTTAGATATTTCTCACTACATAGCTTTGTCTGGCTTAAAGCTTGCTATGTAGACCAGGCTAGCCTCTAACCCATAGAAAGCAACCCACCTCTGCCTCTGGAGTGCTGGGATTGAAGGCGTGAACCACCACACCCCACTCTATATGAATTTTTAGTCAGGTTTATCACAACTCAAAAGGATCTGACAGGGAGATCAAGGCTCTTCAATTTTGCTTCAGAAACTGCTTGGAATAAAGAGACTTTGGTTTTTCCTCCTCGTTTCACTACCTAAGCATAAGGTCATTTGTATTACAAAGAGTTAAGTTACGACTGAGTAGTAACTTGGCTCTGTAATAAAAGGATGTTGTACAATTGAACTCTCCCCGGTGGGAAAACAAATGGTGACTGGTTTTCCATCATGTGTCTTTTGTTTTCCATCTAGAGCATCGTTTCAGAACTTATGAGGTTGACTTCCTGTGCGAGGCTGACCTCATACCCTAGGACTGAGGTTTGTCTAGGGAAAATGGAAACAGGAATGTTGTATTATTCTTTGTTGAGGTCCAGGCTGAGGCAGAGTCATGCGTTTTGTTTAGACCAGCATGTGGCCATTCTGCTTTTAAACAGTGTAAAGGAAGTAAGCCTTAAAATACCTTTTCCTTTCCACCTGTTAGTATGTACTACTAAAGCGGCTATATTCAACTGAAAATAAAAGGAATGGGCAGATACTGTATCGACAGGCTTCTAAGAAACAATGTTTCTGTTGTAGAGTGACTTTTTCAGACATTTGCTTTTGTGTGCTTTTAAAAGAATCCAGGAGTCACAGAGCTGAGATAAACACCTCAGGGTGCTCTCAGTCAGGAGTATCATGGCTGCTGTAGTGTTTTAAACGTAGACCCACTGCCCACCTTCCCTTGCGATGTCATGTTGTAGACACAAGCAAAGTACCTTGACTACTTCTGGGTCTACCGAGTGAAGGTGGGTCCGCATGTGAGCAGAAAGGAGCCTGGGGGTAGGCACAGAGCCCCATCCATCTCTTGGTACCCTGCAGTCTCGGATGCTGTTAGCCATGTCCTCTGCAGAGCCTGACCACAAAGGAAGA